AAAAAAAAAAAAAAAAAAAAATCTGGTGCAAGATCCTAAAAATCTACCCTTTTGCTTTCTGGATCAACTAGTCTGTTAAATCACCTTCTATCAGCACATGTTTAGGAATACATAAATTCAATAACACAAATGAGAAAATAAACTTTCCTCCCTGATACAGCATTGTTCTGGACATCTGTCACAACACTCATGTGCCAGGTAAAATGTGTTGACTCACCGAACGTGGCAATATGCTAATATCCATCCATCATCCACCAACACCCGTCTTTCAGGTCTGAAATTCATTTTTAAGTCCATTCCATAAGCTCCATATACATGTACCAGGAGAGGTTTCTTCTGCAAGTCCTCAGAATCCGTTTTGTGGAAAATAGTCATTGGCACTGATTTTCCATCCTGGAAATGAAGAGTTACTACGCAATGTAAATAAAAGTTTTTTAAAACAGTTTATCCCTAATTTTATGCATTGCTTACTGATGTTGAATACAAACTTCATTTAATTGAGACAACGGAGGGGCTCCTGGCTGGCTCACTCGGTGGAGCATGTGACTCTTAAGAGTTGTGAGTTCAAGCTTCACATTGGGTATAGAAATTACTTTAAAAAAAAAAAAAAAAGGACAACAGAGTTATGGTTAAGGTCTTTAAAAATACATCATGGTTCATCCCCATTTTTAGCTATTCTGCTGACCCATAATGCTAACTAGAAAAGAGCAGCAAAACTCAGGCTTGAAAACATTTTATGAAATGCAGCTTTCCAAGACAGTGAAGTGATTTTAAAGAGTTCTTTACTACCTACTATTACTGTAATTTTTTTCTTTCAAGATTAAGTCAAAATATAGCTACCAAAATTAGACGTACTAGCATAATTTCCCCACACCTATGGCTAGATACTGACATTTCACATCTTTGCGTATTTACAAATAGGTTGACTAAAGAAGTTTTAACTGCTCAATTTTCTGTCCTCTATAGGCAGAATCCTCAACCATTAAGCGCCAGAATTTCACTTAGTTTCACTGTTCTTTCCACTTAGGATATGATAACTACAACATTTTGATGGATTGGTATATGGTATAGTTACACATTTCTAAAGCAAAACAAAGCCTAAAAATATATATTTTTTTCTTTTCTTTTTGAGTGTAAGAGGGGGAGGGGCAGAGAGAGAGAGACGGGAACAGGATCTGAAGCCAGCTCTGCGCTGGGAGTGGAGGACCTGATATGGGGCTTGAACTAACGAACCGTGAGATCATTACCTAACCTGAATTCGGATGCTCAGCTGACTGAGCTCAACCGACTGCGCCCCTGTAAACATATTCTGTTGACAAAGAACCAAACACAAAAATCTGGAAAGTGATACAATAAATGGTAAACAATAATTATATCTAAGAGGTACAGCAAATGGGACTGAAAAGTAGTCATCTAAACTTTGTACATTCTGCATTTTTGTATTTATTCTAAGAAATGTGTATTGCTCTTGTATTATTTAAAAAATACACTTAAATAAAGATTTAAAAGAAAATCAACGAAGAAAAAAATTCATAAAGACAAAAAGGCTGTGTCATAATTCATTGCCAACACATATGAAGTTATCTGATGTTTGATAGGTCAAGGTCTGAAAATTCCTTAAATCCAAAGGCCACAGTTTATTAATTTGTTCCCCACTTGCACAAATTTTCTTTTATACTTTTTACTCTGCCCTCAGTCTTACCTCTTTTACTCTACACTTTGGCCATATTGTCCTCCTTTACTTAAAAAAAAATTTATTTAAGTAATCTCTACACCCAACATGTGGCTTGAGCTCACAACCCTGAGATCAAAAGTTGCATCCTCTTGCAACTGAGTCAACCAGGCACCCCTTCCTTTCTACTTCTTGAAAGCACCATTTCTCCCTCAATTCAGGCCTCTACACAAATGTATTCCTCCTGCCCCTTTTCTAGTTAGATTCTTAATCATCCTTGAGGTTTTACCTGAGACATCACTTTCTCAGAAGCCTTCAGTGATCCCTCCAGCCTAGGTAAGGTCCCTGTGCCATGTTTCCACTGTACTCAACACGGCGTCCTTTGCAGCAGTCAGTACATTAGCACTTACTCCTTCAACATCAATCATCTTCCCTACTAGATTCAAGCACTCTAGTCAACTGCTTACCACCTTCACAATTTTTTGCCATTACCTAGAAACCAACTTTGACAATTTCTTGAAGTCAACTTTCAAAATTCAAATTCAAAATTCAAATATTAACAAGCCTTGATGAAATCAATGACTTGACATGCTAGCTATAAATTTTCTAAGCCATGTTAAAATAAATACGGGAGTATTTAAAAAAAAAAATCCATGGATCCCTTAAGATCATTTGGGTCTTACTGTGGTATGTGAGATCCACTTCAGAAACCCATGCTAATGTAACACCAGCAGCAACTGCACAATGCTTGACAAGTAGTATGAATGCAGTAGATGGGGGCTCACAGTTGGGATTACAAAGACTTACCTTGCTTTTGGCTTCTAGACGTAAAACACGACTAGTCTTTGTGATTGGGTCTTCGTGCCCAGTTTCCTCAAATAGTTTGCCTTCTGCAAATTTGTATGTGTAGTATTTTGGGGGACGTATTGGAGAGCAAAGCTGGAAGGGGCAGTTCTTTGGGTCTGAATTGGTATCCATTATGAATCCACAGGCCCAAGGAGGAAGCTAAAGAAATAAAAGTTATTTTTACTCTTTATCTACACACTAAGTATCATTAATTAAATTTGAGTCAGCTACAAACAAGATGATGTGGACATCAAGTTTACTTTTATCCATTATAAGTAATTCCTCATTTAACTATTATTTCAGCACAACAGAATATATTTCAAGTAACAAATGAACAGGACTCCACATTAATGACCAATAAAATAAGGAAAAATTATAGGAAAATGGTTTATCATGACTCTGGATTTATACAGGATCTCCTTTAATAAAGCCATTTATTTTGGGTATAAACTTGGGAAGTGAATAGTAAAATGGTTACGAATAAGAGCAAATCAAATAATAATTCCAGAACCCGGCAACATCTCCAGATCTCCGTTCTCAGAGAACATGAAATCTCGCTCAGGTGTTTTTTTAATGATTTACCCACCAGCACTTCCCCTGTGGCCTAGACAGCCACAGTGGTGACAGCTATCATGCCAGGGCTACAAACTCACTCAGCAGCACTAAAGCATTTACAATTTGTTTCTAACTTCAGCCCCCAGGCTAACTGTTGTGCAGAACAAAACCTTTCCTGGCACATACACTCTGAGAAACTCACAGCTATTATGATTAGGATTCTTCACTTTAAGAAAAAAGGAAAGGAATCAAAATTTATTCTCTCAGAGCAGCAGGGTCCAGTTTCAAGCCTGCCACTAACATCCCTCTTACACCTTTCAAAGAATTGTGGTAAGCAGGCTGGCAGAATATAAGAAATGGTACCGAGAGTCAGAACATTAAAAGAAAATTGCCTTTCCTTTCCCGAGTAATTGTAGAAAGAAAATCAGAGGTCTTGGCACAGCAATGTCACGGGTTGGCATTATTCAAAAAGGGTAGGTGGGGCTGTGTGCATAAAGAGTGCATCATCTGACCTGTAGAAACTACAGCCAGAGTTTATGTTCACAGAGCACATGTCTTACTATTAGTCCAAAGAATCTATCTTCCTGAACACTCCAAGGATATATATTCAAAATATCTCTCAAAGAGAGTTCCTAATTTACTGTCCTCAGACTGAGAATTATGTTCAAGGATAATCTGTCTACTTAAGTGAAAGCCATAAAACGGAAAGAAGCATGTGGCACATCAAAGTTGTGAAGTCTGGAAGCATAAATGGGAGTGAGTAAATGGAGACCTTGCTGGGAAAAACCACCATCGCTTCTCACTACTCATGTTGTAACCAGGTCTCAGAAAGAGGGTACATGATGCCTAAGTCCACAGAGGCACAAATTTTTCTGTCCTTTGGTGAAACTTTAAAAGAGTTTCCATGTGCCCCATGTGGTAAGTGGTCATAGTTTCAAACCAAGTAGTTCCAATAAATAACTCTTTTGGGTGTATTTCTTAAAGTACTGGGACCAAGGATAAAGTTTCACCATAACAAAAACTGTTCTAGTTTGTCTAGTTCTAGTTGTCCAGAAATAAATGTTAACCATCTCAAGGATATCTTAAACCGCATTTCCTATTGAGAAACCTGCAGTACTATCTGGGTATGTTAATGGACAGCACCCAAGAATAATGATAAATTGGCTAGGTGATCTGCAGATATTTCTTTGATACACGAAAGAAACAGGTTCAGCGCTAGCATCCTACCAGCAATCGTAGTCATCTATCTCACTGAAAGAAAACTGGCCCAAGTGTGCAAATGCCTCCATGTGAACTGATATTAGTACAAAGCAAAAAATCTCCCCAAGATTTGCTTAAATTAAGTATCATAACCAATTAAATTATCATAGCTTCTTTTTGTGAAAAAAAAAATTACCAGGAAAAACTGGTAATATGATGACCAAAGATAGGAGGCAAATATATTAAGGATTTTACATTTCTGTTGCCCAGATGGAGTTTAAAAAGATCTTTTAGTGAAGTGCCTACTAGGCGGAGATGTTACATACAGAAATATTTTATAATATAGTCTGGCTTAAAGATTTTGTCCTTTGTGTATGCCATTGTCCCTGCATATTAATCAGTATTATCCAGTTCATGAAAGGCTCTGATCTATAAAATTTTCTTTAAGTAGAACCTAATATATAATGTAGTATTGATTCTATGTGTTGATGACTCAAAACACTGTAACAAAGCCCAAAAGGGTCAGGGAGTAAAGAGAGGATATAGAATAAATTACAGATATGATGTTCCACTGGAGATATTCCTGGAAGCATCAGGCCCTGGAGAACAGAAGACATTATACTGCAGGACACTACAGGACCTCTTCTTCATAAAGCCATTACCCTCAAGAACAAGAGATGTAGTTGACTTTCCTCACACAGAAATAGGCATAGAAACTTAGACAAAATGAGAAGACACGCTTTGTCTCAAATGAACAAAAAGCCAGAGATTTAAGTGAAACATAGAAGTAATATGCCTGATGAAGAATTTAAAGCAATGATCGTAAGGATACTCACCAGACTTGAGAAAAGAATGGTGGACATCAGTGAAACTATTAGCACAGATAAGGAATAATATACCAGAGATAAAGGGTTCAATAAACAAAATGAGAAACGTGCTTGATACAATGAATAGCAGGCTGGAAGCAGAGGAACGAATTAATTACCTAGAAGACATGGCACAAAAACAGACACATAGACCAATGGAATAGAATAGAAACCCCAGAACTAGACCCACAAGACGTGTAGCCAGACTCATCTTTGAAAACGGAAAAGAACATCAATGGAAAAAAAATCTCTTTAACAAATGGTGCTGGGAGAACTGGACAAGCAACATGCAAGAAGTTGAAACTAGACCACTTTCTACACATTCACAAAATAAACCTCAAAATGGATAAAGGACACTAAGACTGGACAGGAAACCATCAAAACCTTAGAGGAGAAAGCAGAAGAAAAAGACCTCTCTGACCTCAGCCTGTAGCAATCTCTTACTTGCCACATCCCCAAAGGCAAAGGGAATTAACAACAAAGTGATTACTGGGACTTATAGAAGATAAAAAGCATCTCACAGCAAAGGAAGAACCAACAAAATAAAGGCAACAACGGAATGGGAAAAGATATTTGACAAATGACATATATGACAAAGGGCTAAGTATCAAAATCTGATAAAGAGCTACCAAACTCACACCGAAAAGCCAATAACCCAGTGAAGAAATGGGCAGAAAACATGAATAAGACAGCCTTCTCAAGAAGACATCGGATGGCCAACAGGCAAGCTGAAAAGATAACCGGCGTCGCTCTACAGGGAAATACAAATCAAACCACACTCAGAGTATCCACCTCATGCGCCAGTCAGAGTGGCCAAAATGAAGCAAATCAGGAGACTATAGATGCTGGAGAGGATGTGGAGAAGCGACCTCTTGCACTGTTGGTGGAATGCAAGAATTGGTGCAGCCGCTCTGGAAAGCAGTGTGGAGGTTCTCAGAAAGATTAAAAAGCGAACCTACCCTATGACCCAGCTTAGCACTGCTAGAAATTTATCCAGGGACACAGGAGTACCATGATGCATAGGGAGCACTTGTACCCCAACAGCACATCTCAACAATATGCAATTATGGAAGAGCCTTGTCATCAACTGATGAATGGATAAAGAAATTGTGGTTTATATACACTATGGAATACTACATTGTGGATGAGAAAAAATGAAATATTGGCCTTTTGGCAGCAGCGTGGATGGAACTGGAGTGTGATGCTAAGTGGAAATAAGCCATACAAGAAGACAGATACCATTGGTTTCACTCTTTATGTGGATCCTGAAACTTAAGAGAAACCATGGGAGGAACAAAAAAAAAAAAAAAAAGAGGTTAGAGTGGAAGGCAAAGCACATAAAGACTGTTTGAGAACTGAAAGAACACTGGGTTGATGGGGGGGAGGAGAGGTGGGTGATGATAGAGGTACTGGGGGGCACCTTTGGGATGAGCACTGGGTGTTTGAGAAAACCATTGACAATAAATTTCATATATAAATTAAAAAAAAAAATAATTACCTAGAAGACAGAGTAATGGAAAGTAATCAAGGTGAACAAAAGAGAGAAAAAAGAATTATGGAAAATGAGAATGGACTTAGGGAACTCAGTGACTCCATCAAACATAATAACAGTTGTATTCTAGGAGTCCCATAAGAAGATAAAGAAAAGGGGGCAGAGAATTTGAGAAATAATAGATGAAAACTTACCTAATCTGGAGAAGGAAAGAGAGAGAAATCCAGATCCAGGATGCACAGAGAACCACCACCCCCTCCTCGGATAAAAATCAACAAAAGCAGATCCATAGCAAGGCATATTGTAATTAAAATGGCAGAATATAGTGATAAAGAAAAAATATTAAAAGTAGCAAGTCAAGGGGTGCCTGGGTGGTTCAGTCAGTTAAGCGTATGACTTCAGCTCAGGTCATCATCTCATGGTTTGTGGGTTCAAGCTGCACATCAGGCTCTGTGCTGACAGCACAGAGCTTGGAGCCTGCTTTGGATTCTGTATCTCCCTCTCTCTCTCCTCGTTCCCCACTTGCACTCTGTCTCTCTCTCAAAAATAAATAAACACTAAAAATAAATGAATGAATGAATGTAGCAAGACAAAAGAAGACAGTTATATACAGAGGAAACCCCATAAGGCTATCAGTGGTTTTTTCAGCGAAACTTTCCAAGCCAGAAAGGAGTGGCATGATGTATTCAAAATGCTGAATAGGAAAAACTTGTATCCAAGAATACTATATCCAGGAAGGCTATCACTCAGTATAGAAGGAGATACAAAGAGTTTCCCAAATAAAAACTAAAAGAGTTCATGACCATAAAACCAGCCCTGCAAGAAATATTAAAGGGGATTCTGAGTGAAAAGGAAAGACCAAAAAAAGATAGTATGAAGCTAAGAAACACAAAACCAGTAAAAATAAATATTTCTGTAAAGAATCAGTCAAGGAACTCACAAAATAAAACAATGTAGAATATGGCACCATATATGTAAAACTTGGGGAGGGGAGGAGTAAAGAACTGGTTCAAACTTAAACGACAATCAAATTAATACAGACTTCTGCTATAAGCAGAAGAGGCTATATAAAAACCTAATGGTAACCACAAATCAAAAACTACTAATAAATATGCAAAGAATAAAGAAGAAAGAAATCCAAATATATCACTAAAGAAAACCAGCAAACCCTGAAAGAAAGAGAAGAAAGGATCAGAGAAAAACTTTGGAAATAACTACAAAACAAGTAAAAATGGCAATAAATACATATCTATCAACAATTACTTTAAAACTAGATGGACTAAATGCTCTAATCAAAAGACACAGGGTGACAGAATGAATAAAACCAGGATCCATCCATATGCTACCTACAGGAAACTCATTTTAGATCTAAAAACACCTGCAGATTGAAAGTGAGGGAATGGAGAAACACTGATCATGCAAATGGATGTCAAAGAAAAGCTGGAGTAGCAATATTGGTATCAGACAAAATAGATTTTAAAACAAAGATTGTAACAAGAGACAAAGAGGGACACCATATAATCATAAAGGGAACAATACGGGAAGATATAATAATTATAAAATGTATGCATCCAACACAGGAGCACCCAAATACATAAAACAGTTAGTAAGAAACATAAAGGAACTAACTGGTAATAATTAACAACAGTAGGGCACTTTCACACCCCACTTACATCAATAGACAGATCAACTAAACAGAAAATCAACAAGGAAACAATGGCTTTGAATGATGCACTGGATTAGATGGATTTAACAGACAGATCTATTCAGAACATTCCATCCTAAAACAGAATACACATTTTTTTCAAGTGCACATGGAACATTCTCCAGAACAGATCACTTATTAGGCTACAAAACAAGCCTCAACAAATTTTAAAAGATCAAAGTCATACCATGCATCTTTTCTGACTGTAACACTATGAAGCTAAAAGAAAAAAATCTGTAAGAAAAAAACATCTGGAAAGACTACAAATACATGGAGGTTAAATAACATGCTCCTAAACAATGAATGGGTCAACCAGGAAACAAAAGAAATTTAAAAAGTACATGGCAACAAATGAAAATGAAAACACAATGGTTCAAAACCTTTGGGATGCAGCAAAAGTGGTTCTAAGAGGGAAATTTACAGCAATATAGGCCAACTGTAAGAAGCAAGAAATACCTCAAATAAACAACCTAACCTTACACCTAAAGGAGCTAGAAAAAGAACAAACAAAACCTAATTACCAGCAGAAGGAAGGAAATAATAAAGATTAGAGCAGAAATAAGCGATACAGAAACCAAACAACTACAATAGAACAGATCAATGAAACAAGGAGCTGGTTCTTTGGAAAAAAAAAAATCACTAAAGTTGATAAACCTCTAGCCAGACTTCTCAAGAAAAAAAAAGAGAAAGGACCCAACTAAATAAAACTACAAATGAGGAGAAATAACAATAAATACCATAGAAACACAAACAATAATAAAAGAATATTATGAAAAATTATGTCAAAAAACTGGACAACCTAGAAGAAATGGAAAAATTCCTAGAAATATACAACCTACTGAAACTGCAACAGAAAGAAATAAAAAAATTTGAACAAACTGATAACCAGCAATGAAATTGAATCAGGAATTAAAAAAACAAACAAAAGGCCAGGAGCAGATAGCTTCACAGATGAATTCCACCAAACATATGAAGAACAGTTTATGCCTATTCTTAAACTATTTCAAAAAAAAATAGAAAACTTCTAAATTCATTCTATGAGGACAGGATTACTCAGATACCAAAACCACACAAAGACACCATAAAAAGAGACCTACAGGCCAAAATCCCTGATGAACACAGATGCAAAAATCCTCAACAAAATACTAGCAAGCCGAATCCAACAATACATTAAAAACATCATTCACCATGACCAAGTGGGACTTATTCCTGGGTTGCAAGAGTGGTTCAATATTCACAAATCAATCAACGTGATATACCACATCAGTAAGAAAAAGGATAAGAACCATATGATCATTTTAGTAGATGCAGAAAAAGCATCTGACAAAGTACAATGTCCATTTATGATTAAAAAAAAAAAACCTCAACAAAGTAGGTTTAGAAGGAACTTAGCTGTACATAATAAAGGCCCTTTATTAAAAACCCACAACTAACATCATCCTAAATGGGGAAAAACTGAGAGCCTTTCCTTAAGATCAGGAACAAGATAAGGATGTTCACTCTGACCACTTTTATTCAACAGAGTTCTAGAAGTCCTAGCCACAACAATCAGGCAACAAAAAGAAATAAAAGGCATCCAAATCAGTAAGGAAAAAGTAAAATTTTCACTATTTGCACATGACATGATACTATAAATATAAAACTTGAAAGACTCCACCAAAAAACTGCTGGAACTAGTAAATGAACTCAGTAAAGTTGCAGGATACAAAATCAATCTACAGAAATCTGTTGCATTTGTATACACCAATAATGAAGCAGCAGAAAGAGAAATTTAGAAAACAATCCCATTTACAATTACACCCAAAATAATAAGATACCTAGGAATAAACCTAACTAAAGAGGTAAAACATCTAGACTCTGAAAACTCTAAATTATAACACTGATGAGAGAAATTAGAGATGACACAAATGGAAAGACATTTCATGCTCATGGATCGGAAAAAAAAAATATTGTTGAAATGTCTATACTACCAAAGCAATCTACACATTTAATGCAATCCCTATCAAAATACTAACAGCACTTTTCACAAAACTAGAACAAAGAATCCTAAAATTTGTATGGAGCCACAAATGACTCCAAATAGCCAAAGCTGGGGCGCCTGGGTGGCGCAGTCGGTTAAGCGTCCGACTTCAGCCAGGTCACGATCTCGCGGTCCGTGCGTTTGAGCCCCGCGTCGGGCTCTGGGCTGATGGCTCGGAGCCTGGAGCCTGTTTCCGATTCTGTGTCTCCCTCTCTCTCTGCCCCTCCTCCGTTCATGCTCTGTTTCTCTCTGTCCCCCAAAAATAAATAAAATAAACGTTGAAAAAAAAAATTTTAAAAAAACAAATAGCCAAAGCTATCTTGAAGAAGAAAAGGAAAGCTGGAGGCATCACAGTTCTGGATTTCAAGTTATATCACAAAGCTGTAGTGATCTAAACAGTAGGTACTGGCACAAAAATAGATACACAGATCAACAGATCAGAAAAGAAAAACCGGAAATAAACCCACAACTATATGGTAAATTAATGTTTGACAAAGCAGGAAGTGATATCCAATGGGAAAAAGACAGTCTTTTCAACAAATGGTGCTGGGAAAACATGCAAAAGAATGAAACTGGACCACTTTCTTATACCATATACAAAAACAAATTCAAAATTGATTAAAGACCTAAATGTGAGACGTGAAACCACAGATATTCTAGAAGAGAGCACAGGAGGTAATTTCTCTGACACTGGCCATAGCAACTTTTTTCTAGACAAGGGAAGGGAAAGAAAAAGCAAAAATAAACCAAAGGAAACAACAAACTAAAAGGCAACCTACAGAATGGGAGATGATATCTGCAAATGATATATCCGATAAAGGGTTAGTATCTAAAATATATAAAGAAAATGGGGAGCTGGGGTGGTTCAGTCAGTCAAGTGTCTGACTCTTGATTTTGGCTTAGGTAGTGATCTTGCAGTTGTGAGACTGACCCCTATGCTGGGCTCTGCTGAGCAAGGAACCTGGTTGGGATTCTCTCTCTCCCCCTCTCTCTGCCCTTCCCTATGCTCAAACTAAATCTCAAAATAAATACACTTAAAAAAGAAAAAAGGTAATGATTTCAATTATTTGGGATAAAATTTAACCAAACAAGATGCTCAAATGGCATTTCTCTCTCCATTTTGGCTAGGTCCTCAAACTAGGTATAAGTGGTCAACTGGTTTAACAACTCTTTCCATATCAAGTAAAATGGAGGCCTTTCCCGTTCCCTTCAGCACCTGTTTTCTAACCTACATGTTTTTAAAATTTTTTTTTTTTAATGTTTATTTATCTTTGACAGAGAGAGACAGAGTATGAGCGGGGGAGGGGCAGAGAGAGAGGGAGACACGGAATCCGAAGCAGGCTCCAGGCTCTGAGCTGTCAGCACAGAGCCCGATGTGGGCCTCCAACTCACAGACCATGAGATCATGACCTGAGCCGAAGTCGGATGCTCAAATGACTGAGCCACCCAGGCGCCCCTAACCTACATGTCAATGCTGCTTTAAAATGGGGTTGTAAGGCTGGCATTCACCAATTTTAAGAAGTTCACTTGTGGAGGCAGATTATCTTTTCTGGCAGCCACAGGCAATATCAGCAAGTCAGCCTGCCAGGCAGATGTGCCACCATTCACAGCTGTGCTGCAGTGGAGACCACTGCCACCCCTTACTGAAAGAGACCAAAGGTTTCTTGGTCCCTTCTGCAACCCCCACAGGTAAGAAAACGAACAAAAAGAAGAGGGTATTTCTGCAAAGGCAGAAATATGGTGGGCATGCCTCCTATCCCCACGTGGGGGTGTGGGATGGGAGCAGCAGCAGTGGGTCAGGCTCTAGCCGGCAAGTTGGCCTGAGTGATTAGTATACGTAAAGTTGTAGAGATGGATGATATATAGCGATAGGTAGAAAGAGGAACGTGACACTGAACTCTACTTCTGAAGTTCATATTTTAAGTAAAACTTTACTAAAAGTGAGGTCCTCCAAGTAATTTTAAAATAAACCCCCTAAGATCCAGTATGAAAAGATCCAGTATGCCAAGTTTCATTGAAATTAAATTCCACTCAAGAAACAGTATGTTGCTATCACTCAAAATGTGATGTTCTGTTACACTGAACTGGATGTAGAATTAAACTTACCTTCAGAGACCGAACCGAGTCATCAGCCAGACCAATCACATTAACGTAAAGTAGATTGCTGTGCTTCAGGAATAGAACGCAGTGGTCCTTAAACATGTCCAAGTCTACAACTTTGGTATTTCTCTTCATTGTGAAAAATAAATCCCAATTCATAATGGCAGGGGTATCAGCTGCTGTTCTCATGAGCTGTGTGGAACAAAGTCAGAAGAGATCCAGGTAACAAAATGTGATAACCATGGCATCCAGAAGAGCCAAAGAACACATCAGGGCTGCAGTGTGACCATCACCGTGTGAAGGAGCCTGCTGTGTGGTGAGATAGAATGGCTTACTGCTTAGCTCACAACAAACCAATGGATGTTCGAGTGAAGGCATTTGCTAGCGAGCTAACTGTGGATGCATTAAGGAGCCTGGCTGGGACCAGCAGAACTGCCTAGCTGAGATCAATACCAAATTGCTAAGTTATAAGGTCATGAATTTATAAAAGTCTATTCTTTTAAATCATTAAGTTTGGCTTTCATAAATGATATAATCAGGATAAAGTAGGTTTCATTTGCTAATCTTTTTAGGCATAATTACAAAGTGTAGAGACATTATATCTAAGGGAAGAGAAACGGAATTGGTTATGCATGGAAAGGTAGCATCAATTTCTACAGTTTACCAAAAGTCTACGAAAACAGTTAACTCTTAATGTAAAGAATGTTGTTGATGGAAGTGTGATACTTTTGAACAGACCACATAGGGACAAGGAGAATCCAGGATTACCTTGAATTCTGTAGGCTCGCCAACATTAGTGAGAATGTATAATTCGTCATCTCTGTGTTCAACGTAGTAAAGGACGCCATGTATTCGCTTCTGGATAAGTACTGGTGGGTCCCAAGGGCTTAGGCCATCTATCAACCACACTTCAGAAGTAGTCTTGTTCATAATGTTTATGGTGAGGAAACGACTGTCTTTTGTAAGATAAAGGAAAACAAAATAGCTGCGTGCACACACACACACACGCAGAAAGAGACCGAGAGAGAGAGAGAGAGAGAGAGAGAGAGAGAAATCCAGTAAATTTCAGTGGCATGTTACTTTGTTAATGACAGTATTTCACTGCCTGCTATATATATGTTGATTTATAATGCAGACAGAAAATAACTCCTTAGTGAACACTGCTTGTAAAATAAAAAAAATAAAAAAAACTATTATTTTTCTCATTTCCCCCACAGAAGTATTCAAAGGAACTTCTTCTCTAACATTTTATTATGAACATTTTCAAAACTACAGAAGTTGAACATGTCAGGTGAATACCCATACACCCACCACTGAAATTCAATTATTACCAATGATTTGCTTATATTTCCTTTATTACATTATTTGTGCATCCATCAATCCATCTTTTTCTAAATGCATTTTCAGGTACACAAAAGGTATCCTCTCTCACTTAATCACGTTAATAGATTATAGGCTTTTTAGTGGGAAGAGGAAATAAATTTCCTAGAGGAGATATGTAATTGTAGGAAAGAAGAGGGACACAGAATTTACTTTGTTCTTCCTCTGTATGCTCCCCTTCCCCCAGTTTTATAACAAAACAAAATAGAAATAACAGAAACACAAACAGGAAGAAAAATGCTTGCAATCTAAACACATTTTAAAAATTAATGTTAACTGTTTTAATTTTTTCTATTTTTCCTTCTCCTTTATTTGTATTTCATGCATGTGTTTCATTTTTTTAAAGTTTATTTAAATATTTATTTTGTGAGAAAGAGAGAGAGCATGTGCACGACTGGTGGAGGGGCAGAGAGGGGGAGAGACAGAATCCCAAGCAGGCTTCACATGGAGCCCAATGTGGGGCTCGATCTCATGACCGTGAGATCATGACCTGAGCAGAAACCAACAGTCAGATGCTTAACCGACTGAACCACCCAGGCACCTCAATATGTGTTTTTTGTTTGTTTTACTATTTTTTTAAATGTTTATTTATTTTGAGAGAATGTGCACACCAGTGGAGGAGTGGCAGAGACAAAGAGAAGGGTGAGAATTCTAAGCAGGCTCTGAGCTATCAGTGCAGAGCCTAATAGGGGGCTCAGTCTCACAAACCATGAGACTGAGCTGAAATCAAGAGTTGGATGCTTAATTGACTGAGCCATGCAGACACCCTTGTGTTTCATTTTTAAATTAAAAAACGTCTGACTTTGGCTCAGGTCATAATCTCATGGTTTGTGAGTTTGGGCCCCACATCAGGCTCTCCACTATCTGCAGAGCCCACTTCTGATCCTGCCTCCCTTTCTCCATGCACCTTCCCCGCTCAAGTGTGCGCACATGCTCTCTCAAAAATAAACATTAAAAAAAATTTAAAAAACTTTAAATTACTGAAGTACAGTTGATATATAATGTTATACTAGTTCAGATACACAATATAGTGATCAGAGAACTCTACCCATTACTTAATGTTCATCACAGCAAATGCAGTCATCATCTGTCACCATACAACATTATTACAATATTATTGACTATATTTCCTATGTTGTACTTTTCAGCTCCAGGACTTCTATAAAACACAGATGCAATTTTGGATTCTGCATTTGTGACTTCACATAATATCAGTAATCCCCCCACATTAATTACAATCTTTTATGGTCATTTTAAAAAATGTTTCTTTATTTTGAGAGAGAGTATGTGCACACGAGTAGGGGAGGGGCAGACAGAAGGAGAGAATCCCAGACTCCATGCTGTCAGCACAGAGCCTTTCGTGGAGCTCGATCTCACAAACCATGAAGACTGGAAATCAAGAGTTGAAAAAACCAAAATTAAGAATTGAACACTTAGCTGAATGAACCACCCAGGTGCCCCGTGATCATTATTTTTAATGGCTACCTAATATTCTATTAGGTTGAATTATTATAATTCTTAAAACTTAAGATTTTAATGTTTCATTGTAATAAAGAATATAATAGGGAACGTATTCATGAAGACAGTTCCCCCTTCCTCACCTTTACAATTATTTCCCTATGATAAATACTTACCCATTTCTTAGGAATGGAAATATGAATTTAATGATAAGCAGTATCTTTTTTTAATCTTTTTTTTTTAATGTTTATTTTTGAGAGGGAGAGACAGAGCACAAGCAGGGGAGGGGCAGAGAGAGAGGGAGACACAGAATTTGAAGCAGGCTCCAGGCTCTGAGATGTCAGCACAAAGCCAGATGTGGGGCTTGAACCCACAACCATGAGATCATGACCTGAACTGAAGTTGGAAGCTTAACCAACTGAGCCACCCAGGTGCCCCTGTTTTGGAAATATTTCAACCAAGTCGAATGAAGTACTTACCACTGGCATCTAGGTTTTCTGGATAGTTTTATTTTTATCAATTGATTCTTTAAATCTTTTAGGAATGTATGCTGATGTATGAAGTGATGAAAATTATTTTTCTACAGTATTAAAAAATTATACCTGTTTTTCATTGGTCTGTGATGCCTTTTCCATAATTTTTATATATATAAATTTTTGAGTTATCTCTTCTGATCTCTATTATTTGTCTATCGGGTTGTATTAACTATTATAGCTTAATGTGTTTTAATACATGGTTTTAGGACAAATTCCTTACTCTAGTTTGCTATTTTCAACACTATCTTTGCTATTTTCAGTATTTTACTTTTATCTATTTATTTTTGTTTGATGATGACACAGGTAATCAAAAGATAAATTACTTGGTCAACTACTTGGCAGATATTTGGTTACGGAAAGTCAGAATACAACTGGTTCTACGGAAACAAGTTTCTTAGAAAGAGAAGACAAGTCATGGTAACCACAGAGCAAAAATGTACAACAGATATACAAAAGAAAAGAGAAGGGACTCAAACCAGAACACTATGGAAAATCATAAATTCACAAAGGAAGATAGTGAGAGAGAAAGGAACACGGGAGCCACAAAGTAACCAGAAAACATCAATAAGATGGCATTAATAAGTACTCACCTATGAATAATTACTCTAAATGTAAATGGATTAAACTCTCCAATGAAATGGCACAGAGTGGCTGAATGGATAGAAAGGAAGACCCAACTATATACTGCCTATGAGATTCACTTCAGCTTCAAGGACACATACAGGCTCAAGATGAGGGGATATAAAAAGAAATTTCATGTAAGTGGAAACCAATCGAGCACAGGAGTAGCTATACTAATATCAAAGAAAATACACTTTAACTCAAAAGTTGTAACAGATAAAGGCAGCCATTATATAATGATAAATGGGTCAGTTAATTAAGAAGATATAACAGTTGTAACTATATACAGACATACCTTGGAGATATGGGTAGGTTCCAGAACCACTGATAAAAGTGAGTCAAATGAATTTTTTGGTTTTCCAGTGCAGATAAAAGTTATGTTTACACTATATTGTAAACTGTTAAGTGTGTTACAGCATTATGTCTAAAAACACAATGTATACACCTTAATAAAAAATACTTTATTGCTAAAAAATGCTAACCATTATTTTAACTTTCAGGGAGTTGTAATCACTGATCACAGATCACCATAAACAAATAACAATGAAAAAGTTGGAAATGGTGTGATAATTACCAAAATGTGACAAAGACATGAAGTGAGCAAGTGCTGTTGAAAAATGGTGCCAATAGACCTGCTTCAATATGTTAAAAAAATGCAGTCTGCGAAGTGCAATAAAACAAGGTATGCCTGCATGCACTCAACATCAGAGCACCTAAATATATTAAGCAAATACCAACAGATTCGAAGGGAAAAACGGACAACACCACCACAATAATAGTACGGGATGTTAATACCTCACTTTCAGCAATGGAGAGATTATTCAGGCAGAAAATCAAAAAAAATTGGGTGTGGACTCTATGTATACTTTAGACAAAATGGATGAAACAGACATATGTAGACCATTCCATTCAGCAGCAGCTGAATACATTCTTCTCAAGTGCACAAGGAACATTCTTGTGTAGGTAGATCATAGGTTAAGTCATAAAGACAAGTATTAGCAAATTTGAGAAGACTGAAATCATACCAAGTATTTTTTCCAATCAAAATAGTAACTATTAAGAGAAAACTGGAAAATTCACAAATATATGGAAATAAACAATATACTGCTAAATAAGCAATGGGTCAAAAAAATCAAAATCAAAAATATCTTGAAAAAATTAAAGTAGAAATAGAACATACTAAAACTTAAGGGATACATAAAAGTACTTCTACGAGGGAAGTTTATGGGATACGTGTTTACATTAAAAGTATCTCAAATAGGGGTGCCTGGCTGGATTAGTCGGTAGAGCATGCAACTCTTAATCTCAGGGTCATGAATTCAAGCCCCACGATGGGTGCATAGCCTACGTAAAAAAATAAAAAGGGGCTCCTGGGTGGCTCAGTTAAGCATCTGACTCTTGATTTTGGCTCAGGTCATGATCTCACAGTTTGAGTTTGAGCCCTGAGTTGGACTCTGTGCTGACAGTGTGTGCTTGGGATTCTTTACCTCCTTTTCTTTCTGCCCTTCTCCCACCAACATGTGCACCCACGCACTCTCTCTCAAATAATAAACTTAAAAAAAGAGGAAAAAAAGAACTATCTCAAATAATGTACATTACACCTTAAAAAATTAGAAAAAGAAAAAATAAGCCTAATGTTAGAAGAAGGAAGGAAATAATAAAGATCAGAGAAAAATAAATTAAGGAGACCAGAAAAACAATAGAAAAGATCAACAAAACTAAGAGCTGCTTTTTGAAAAGATAAAACTGACAAAATTTTAGTGAAATTAAGAAAAAAAAAAAAAGAGGATTCAAAATCGGGAAGGAAAAAGGATGCATTACATCTGATACTGTAGACACACAAAAAAGTATAAAGTTACTATGAAAATTATATGCCAGCAAATTAAAAAATCTAGGAGAAATGAGTAAATTCCTAGAAACATACAACCTACCAAGACTGAATCATGAAGAAATAGAAAATCTGAACAGACCAATAGAGTAAGGTAGAGTT